GGGTACTTGGGATACATCAGAAACAAATGACAAAAATCACCACCTATGAAGGTGATACTCTATTCACTATGATTCTTTTGACCACAGCATAAAAAGAAAATCAACCTTGCAAAGGTAAGAAAAATCTTTACTTCTCTGGCCTCATTTAGATACAAACAAGAAAACATAGTCAATATAATGGCTCTCTGGATCCTTTTTAATGACTTTAAATTTCAGGCAGATGAAATTTAAGAAGTTCTCTGAATCCAGGTCACGAAAGGCAAGCCCATTAGAAAGGTCTAAGTGAGATTCCAAAGAAGACCTATTTTCTACATTGCTACATTCGTCTATGCAACTTTGTGTTCTCTTTGTAGATGATTTTAAGTAAAAGGAAGGAAACAGTGGTAAGTGATGAGAGCTAGAAAGCTAAGAGTCACACAAAGAAAGAAACCAAAATACACCGTCAAGTGCATTGACACTATAGTTCTTGGAATACATACAGTTCAGCATCCAATGAATAAACCATTTTGGGTTTCATAACATTCCTCCATGAAGTTTATTGAGAAATACTATATTTCACGAACAAAGGGTATCATATTGTTTGTTTTCACAGTGTCATTTAGCTTTGAAAGCATGCAGCTAATATTTTGCCTGTGGTATTCAACAGGCAGATGTAAGAAGAGCAAACATTCTTCAGGTTTTAAAAACAGTAGTATATTATAACTTGGAAGGCAACTGCTAACAAACCAAAAGCCATAGATCAGTAGATTTGATTTAAAATAGAACTTCTTCAGTGCTAAAGCAGCTTCAAACATACCATTGTGCAAAATCAGATTAAATACTTCCCAGGGATCCTCAGATGATTGTCCCTTCTGCCAAGTGCTTTCCTTTGAAACAAAAATCATAAAGACTGAAAGAAAAATAAAAGTGTATTTTGCCAAAAAGATAATTATTACTACCCTAGGTTTATAAAAAAAAGCTTATGCTTTTCAAACTGTCAACACATGTGATATCCTCACAACAACCCTGGAAGGTAGGTGGGGTAGGTGGCATTACCATTTTCACAGAGGAGAAACTAGGGCTTACACAGTTGTGATGTTACTCACTGCACAAGGGCTCCTCGTCAAGTGCACCCATGGGCACAGGACTGCACCCACCTAGAGGAAGGAGTACCATTTTCTAATTTGCATAAATAGTCTCATTTGCTTTCCACCAGCCCTATGAACTGTGAGCTTATGAAGTGGACCCCTAAAAGATGCCTTTTCTAATTTGGACAAGGACACAGTATAGGATGGTGAAAACGGTTTTCCATGGCCACCCAACCTAACAGTGAAAGCATAATGATTAGGATCCAGGTCTACTGAATTCCAGTTCATGGCTTTGAATAACATAAGGGGAAAATTCACCCAGCAAATGGATTTACTGACATCTTATAAATAGCCACATAGCTCCTTCCAAGAAATCTCTGAAGGATTCCTTTATGAATGAATAGAAAGAAAGGAAGTACAGTGACATGCATGACGTTAACACTGTTCCATCACTAGATCTTTAGTCTCCAAATGTTTGTCCCTTGTTTTCCCAGTTCCGCCTTCCATTTCCCAGTTCTGATATTCCCAGTTCTGCCTTTCTCAGCTCTGCCTTTCCCAGTTCTTCCCTTCCATAGTTCTTGTTCACTATGTACCAGGTACTCTGCTAAATATTTTATAAGAATTACAACAGGTTCTAACTGAATATAGCTATATAAGTGACCTCAGCTATACCACACAGCACACAAAAACCAACCACATGAGCTTAGTCAACTCACAGAATTGTGAAAATTAAAAGCCTGTCGTTGGTTTAAGTCATTAAATTTTGGAGTGGTTTGTTACATACCAATAGATAACTTAAACATTCTGTGTTCTCACCCTAACATACATCCAAGTTATACCTTTATATCAGGGACAACAGATCCACACAGCTAAGCAAACTCTAAGAGAAGACTGTGAACAAAAGAAAACAGATTGAGTACAGCAAAGTTTTTTGGGCTTGTTTGTTTTTGTTTTTGAGACAAAGTCTTGCTCTGTTACCCAGGCTGGAGTGCAATGGCGTGATCTTGGCTCACTGCGACCTCCACCTCCTGGGTTCAAGTGATTCTCATCTTAGCCTCCTGAGTAGCTGGGATTACAGGCATAGGCCACCACACCTGGCTAATTTTTTGTATTTTTGGTAGAGATGGGGTTTCGCCATGTTAGCCAGGCTGGTCTTGACTCCTGACCTCAAGTGATCCACCAGCCTCGGCCTCCCAAAGTGCTGGGATTATAGGCGTGAGCTGCTGCGCCCGGCCAGCAAAGTTGATTCTGAAACACTGTATTCCCTCAATGATTGTTGGAAGCGCCTATTATATGCAATGCAGCAGAGCCTGGTGACTCAGGGTGTGAGTTTTGGATCCGTGTGTTAAAATACTGGCTGTCCTACCTGCTAGCTGTAGGAACTTGAGGAAGACACTTGGACTTCTCTGGTCCTCAGTTTCTCTATATTGTAAAATGGAAATTAATCATAACTACTTCCTGAGGGTGTTGGCAGCAGTAAACATGATAAAGTATGGAAAGCACACATGAGCGCACATACACACACACACCATGCCACACCACACACCACACACCCAGTCTTCCTAGGAAACTTCTATTCATGCTTCAGCCATCATTTCACAAGTGCCACTTCTTCAGGGAAGCCTTTCCTAAAGATCACCCTGTCTGACTTCAGCAGGCCTCCCTGCTGTATTCGAGCACCATGTATTTTCCTTTTATAAGTACACAGCATCAATTTGAATTTTGTGTTCGTTTGCTCATCATTTATTTATGTTAATCTCACCCACTACACACCATCAGTTCCATGAGAACAGGGTCTGTGGTGACCTCCCACATTTTTCTAGCACCTAGCACAAAGCTTAGCACACAGAAGATAAGTATCTATTCAACAAAAGAAAAGCATTTTCCAAAAGCTGACAATGCACCGAGACCTCCGTAAATGAGAACTTGGCATTGTGTTGTGTGCTTCTGCAGGAGTGAGTCTCACCTTTAAAAACCTGAGAGTCTAATGGGAAATACAACACGTACAGAAGTCACCATCCGACACTGCAGAAGGTCAGCAAGGCCTAGACAGAGTGCCCTGAGAGTTCTGAGAAGGTGGAGATCGACTAACTCTTGATGATGACAATCCAAAAAGACTTTACAAAGATGCAGTGGCATAAGAATACCCAGACTCCAAAGTGCCAGTCCTAACAAAAACATTGGGTGTTGGCTGTTACTTTTTGGGTCCAGAAGCCTGGCCTAAGGCAAAGTCTACAAAAGATCTGTAAATCACTCATTCCTTTATTCATTGATCAGGTTTTTATTAAATACCTAGTAGGTGCTAGGCACTAGTCTAGACACTGAAAATCAATGAACATATCAGCAAGCTGACATTCCTTCTAAAGAGGCCCCCTATAGCAAAAAAATGTTAACCAGTGTCCTCCTCATTCCTCTGTGACCAGGGCTACCGTGTCACCTCCTCTAATGGAGGCTATGCCTTATCGTTTAACAAATGACCTTCGTCTTCCCAGCATCTCCCTTAGTTTGGCTGCCGGGTTGCATATGGAGTTCAATGTCCCGTGGCTGCTAACCAAGGCAAACTGCAATTGTTGCAAATCTTGCTTAAGAAAGTGAAAACTGAAGGGGACCTTAAAAGATCTTCTGGTACAATCCTTCATCTTATAGATGTGGAAACTAAGGCCTAGAGAAAAGACCCTCGGCCAAGGTCACCCAGAGAACTAACCACACATAGAACCAGACCAGAGTACAGGAGTCCTACCTCCCAGGCCTGAGCGCTTTCGATTTCTCAAAGACATTTCCCATTTTCCTATTATCAGGACCCACAACCCTAGAAACAGTCTTTAGGATTCAGGGCCACTCAATATTGAGGAAGAGTTCATTACTTGTATTGAAATCAGTTGTAGTAATACAAACAACAATAACATTTTAGAGCCCTAACTAAACATCAGTAGCAGTGAGAAAGAAAAAAAAAAAAGCTCAGAGCAGATTGTGTGAGTTACAGTGAAATACGCAAAACCGATCAAGCCCAGAGAGACAAGAGTACAGGACTTCGGTGGTGCCCTCCTCACCCAACCTATTCCTGCGAGCAACCTATTCCTGCGAGCCCAATTTTGTTCCCGACCAGTTAGATGCCTTACCCATTACCTTCAAGTTCCCGGAATTTGTGATACAAAGAACAATGTACAGCCAATCAATAGTTTATATTATTTTAATATAAATTCTTGGTAAACAACTTAGGAACCGCTTCTTATTCTCCTTTAAAAACCCACTTTCGACTTCTGCTCATCAGAATGTGTACTCAGGGCACCTTCACTCCCAGGATGCAGTCCTCAAACTTGGCTCAAATAAACTCTCTTTTTATATTGATTTTGCCTCAGTTTCTTCATTTAGGTCACAGCTGTGATAAGCACTTTACGTAAGTTACCTCATCTGGATCCTCACAACAATTCTGAGTCGGTACTATTATCTTCCCCATTTTACACATTAGCAAACTAAGGCACAGAGAGACTAAGCAAGCTGCGCGAAGTCCCACAGCTGTTTAATAAGGGGAAGTGGAGAGGCGGCAGAACGATAATGCTGAGTAAACCAGGATGACTGCCCAATGGCCTCCCCTCGCTTTTAAGGGGTCAGTGATGAACGGGAAAGCTCCACACGTCGGTCATCTGCAACTCCACGGAGTTCGCGAGCTGGCATTCCCCGAGGCTCTTCCTGAAAGGAAAGCCTCTTCTTTCAGCTGGGGCAGGTGTGAACGTGATGCCAAGCATGGCGCCTTTTCCCGCTCCCTGTAAGGGGAGTTTTCGAGGAAATCCCTCTCGACCCACACATCCCTGAAGCAAAGCCCGCGGCTGGAGAGAGAGACGGACGATGCCAGCTTCCGCGTGGATGGAGGAGAGGAGAGGGGGCAAGCAGCGGAGGCAGCGCGGGATCCGGAGGGTGGAAGCGGGGCGGTACCTTTCGGAGAAAGCTGGCGACCACCTGCTCGAAGGGGTACTTGTACACCTGGTGCACGTCCACCGAGACCCCCATCCCCGCGCTCCCCGGGCCCCGCGCACCGGCCACGCCTCCGCGAGCGCAGAGCAGCCCAAGGCTCCGCCGAGGCCCGCAGGCGCCCACACTCGGACAGCCACATGGGCGTGGCCTTTTTCCTCCGCTTTTCAAACTTTCGAAACTTTATTGGCCACTCGGAGAAACGCGCAGTGGGCCACGCCCACGCCCCTGCCCCTACGCCCAGAGTCACGGAGGCGGGTGTTGTAGAGCGCGGGAGGTGCTGGAGCGCGCCCAGAGCACCTAGGGCCCCGCGGTCTCCACGCTGGCGGCGCCTGAGCGGCCCTGGTACCCTCCCGCGGCCGCGCCTGCCGAAAGAAGCTTCTCTGCCTGGAAGCCATCACGCCCCGCCCCAGGAAACCTGGACCTTGGGCTTGTGCGTTTATGGTATCACCGCCTGGAGTCACAGAATAAGCCGTGGTTGGCAGCACGGGAAAATATTAATAAGGAAGGTCTGGTGTGACAAAGGCCAGCATTACTCACGCCACCAGGCAGCTGCCTCTGAGGCTTGGGGTTGGGCCTTGTGTAAGGTCAAGATTGCCTCGGGAATAAGAACCTCGTTTTAGTGCATCCAACCCTGCAGTTAAGTTCCTTTGCTCGCTGAGGTTAAACACCACGGAGCAGGGAACTAGAGGATACAAAAGAGTTGCGAGTATTATTCTTTACTGCAACGCCCAGATGTTAGGAGAACCAGCACGTTCATCCGTGTATTCAGCACGGTTCTGAGACCTCCTATGCCCCAGCGCTGCGGTGGGCACTGCGGATTCTGCCGGGAGGAAACACATGAGCCGGCTGATTTCACACCCAATCAACAAGCTGGGAAAATAAACACAATAATCGGTTAAAGTGACACGGGCGCGGGCATGATTTTAGCGAGGGTGATTATGGAGGGTCTCCGAGGTGATGACTTTTACGATTTTGCCATCTTGCTCGCCCCTGCTGTACACAGTCACACTGGTCTGGCAAAACCCTAGCCTTGTGTAAATCTAGCTCTCCTCTGACTGTCCCTACCCAAGCCACCGGAAGGGGCTGGAGGAAAATACACACCCACTGTGACAGGCATCTTTTAAATTCATAACCACTAACCCTATGGCGCCTTTTAATGGTACCAAATACACTATGAAAGTACCGAATTTCTGGCCGGGCACGGTGACTCACGCCTGTAATCCCAGCGCTTTGGGAGGCCAAGGTGGGCGGATCACCTGGTCCGGAGTTCGAGACCAGCCTGGCCAACATGGTGAAACCCCGTCTCTCCCCGTCTCTCCTAAAAATACAAAAATTAGCTGGGCGTGGTGACGGGTGCCTGTAGTCCCAGCTACACAGGAGACTGAGGCAGGAGAATCGCTTGAACCAGGGAGACGGAGGTTGCAGTGAGCAGAGATCACCCATTACACTCCAGCCTGGGCAACAAGAGCAAGACTCCATCTCAAAAAAAAGAAAAAGAAAAAAGAAAGTACTGAATTTCTCTAATCCACTTACTCTCCCACATTCCTCTCACCTCACACCTCTCACATCTTTGTTCCCCGTCTTATACTCCAGTCATTACCTTACTTCCATTTTCACTTAGTCAGTAGGTCACATCGCTCTGCCACCTCTCTACCAACCAGACCAAATGCCCTGCCTTCCCTCTTGTTCCTGTGGCTGAACTGTCAGCACTTTGTTTTAGCACCAGTGTCTCCATTTGTCCACTGAATCCTGAGGTGAACTAAAAAATGTTTAACAAACAGCTCTCCTTTAAAGCATAAATCACGCAAGGCCCTGATTTCCAAAGGTTGCTGATTCCTGTGGTGTAAATACTCCTACCATGTTTAAAGATGCCAACTCGATGCCACTAAACACAAGTTGGGGATTTAGCAACATGGAGTTTAGTGAGGGGTGGGAGTTGGGGAGGGAAGCACAGAAGCACACCATCACATGGTATTTTCACCACCTACATACAACAGCCATAAAGAACCAAGAACATAGATAATGGAAAAATGCAGTAGGAAGGGATGAGTTTTCAATGTTTATTACTCTTTGGCCAGGCTGCTATGGTTCCTGCCTGTAACCTCAGCACTTTGGGAGGTCAAGGCAGAAGGATCACTTGAGGCCAAGAGTTTGAGATCAGTGTGGGCAACATAGTGAAACCCCATCTCTACAAAAAATAAAATAAAAAATAAAAATTAGCCAAGTGTGGTGGCACACACCTGTTGCTAAGGCCAGAGGATCTATTAAATCCAGGAGTTCAAGGCTGTAGTGAACTATGATGGTGCCATGCACTCCATCCTGGGCCACAGAGTGAGACCCATCTCAAATAAATAAATATTTATTAATTTTTATATGTAATTTATGTGATTGTAAATTTATACGCTTTAATAATAGCTGTGTTGAATGGCCAGCTCTAGTACATCACTAAAAGTTCCCATCCTCTTTCTTGTTCAAGGCCATCGCTCTAGCAATATCTCCCTTTCTGCATCATCAGCTTTGTCTCTAGTGGGCCATTCCAGCCAGCACAACAAGTACACTGTAATTTCTTCCATTAAAAAGAAAAAGAAAAAAAAAAACACTCCTAACCCTCTTAACCCCCTATCTTCACTATCTTCCTCCAGCTGTATTCCAAGTCTCTGCTCCACTGATGCTTCTCAAAAGAGCTCCCTGTAATGTCTTCAGTCCATTCCAATCAGTATTTGCCCCCACCACTTCACTGAAGCTACTGTTGTCAAGGTCATCAATGACCAAATTGCTAAATCCAATAATTAATTCTTAATCCCCACCTTATTAAGCCTGTAGGCAGTGTTTCCTTGAAATACAGAGGGAGGAGTGGAGAGGAGAATGAGATGCAAATGCTCTTACATGTGTTGGATGCATGTTGAAAAGTCACTCCACTATATCACCAATCCCTCCTTACGGGAAAACAAAAGACAGTCTTACAGGGAGACTACACAGGCCCACAAAAGAGAGTTCAATTATCTGCAGAGTTTATGGTATTTTGTATCTGCCTTTTTCACCAGAGTAGCTGGAGACCAGATGTGACATACAAACCGCTAGCGTGGGTCCTGGGCCCTGTATCCTCAATCCACTCTGACCATCAGTTTCTCCCAGAGTGTATCTTTAAGCAGGATTTCATCTCCTGATTAAGTAACCTTGAAAGGCCAATGGTGTGTCCTGAAAGATTAAAGGCCCCACCACCTGCTACCTCTACTTGGGGCTGATTGGCTGAGTGACTTGTGTAAGAACAAATGCGACCTGCCCATTCCAAGGACATTGGGGCTTTCTGAAACGTGTGCCAGACTTGACAACATGAGCCTATAATCTTGTAGCTCTGAATCACAGCCGGTTTGCACAATAGTAATCTTACTTGCTGGGTCCTCTGAGGGAGAGAGAAGAAACTGTGAAACAAATTTCCATTGCTTTTAAATTGCTTGGCTTAACTGGGCAGGGACTTGAGGATGGAAATTTGCTGACAGACCTTAGAAGTTCATGACTTTATTTGGTCTTTAAGATGCCAAATATCTTACTAAAGAGCTTTTATAAGATATCAAATACCTTTTGTATCTTCAAAGGGAGGCACACTAGTTTAAACATGGTAGACATCCAATATATTCAGGTTGAATGAATGAATGAATGATTGTAAATGCTGCAAGATTTAAGTGAGACAGAACTCCAGCCCTGACCCTGTCTCTCTGCTTTTCTCACCTTCTTCATGTTGGTTCAGTTCCCACTTCTGACCATCCTGACCATCTCTCTATCAATGATATTTTGTATCCAGTCTTATAATTATCTGTATATGTAAACACTTCACTGTTACTGCGACGTTCTCAAGACTGGAGGAACTGTATATATTATTCACTCCTCTCTATCCAGTGCTTAGTAAAATGCCTGACACCTAGTATATGTTGAAAAAACTCACGAATGTACTTAATATAAAATATGACCTTGAACAAAATCCTTCCTGCCCCTGCAGCTCAGTTTTTCCACCAACGAAAACTGAAATGCAGGGGCAGAAACTGAGTGGGCCAAGACTGTCTCTAAAATCCAGCAACCTTACATTTGAGATGTGGGCTAGAGACACAAGCCAAGGCAGGGAATAGGGATATAGTTATTGAAACCAGGGTACAGAATGATAACTTGCAAGGAAAACAAAGCAAAATCTCAGAATAGATTCAAATGTAAAATATCATGTATGATAAGTAAGTATGGGTACTAAGGAGAAAAAATAAACTGGAGAAGAAGGATGAGAAGTGATGGCAGGGCAGGGGAGAGAGGAGCAGTGTTTAAATTTTTTAAAAGAGCTAAGGAAGACCTCTCTGAGAAAATTACATTAAAGCAGAAAAGTTGAAAGAAGAGGAGAAGCAAGTCATGCTCGTATTTGGAGGAGGATCATTCTGGGTAGAAGGAACGGCAGGTTCTAAGATCCTGAAACAGGCATTCTCCTGATACATTTCAGAACTGCAAGGAGGCCAGTATGGCTGTTGCAGAGTTCCTGAGATATAAGGTCAGAAAACATGGATCTAGGTCACACAGGGTCCTCCAGGCCATGGTAAAGATGTTGGCTTTATCTATATGAGATGGGAAGCCATTAAGAGTTTTGAGCAGAGGAGAGACATGATCTTAACTCTATATTTTAACAGAATCACTCTGGCTACTTACAGTTTGGAGAAGTGAATATGGGGAGGCAAAGTGAAGAAAAAGACCAATTAAGAGGTATGATATTTTACATATATACATATGTAAAATTTCCTCCCCTACTCCCACTCCTCACTAAACTCCACTCTTCCCTCTATATATAAATATAGATTCATGGTTCCCGGCTCATAACTCCCATAGCCCTTGCTACAGTCTTTTGCTATAATGTTGGGGGCACTTTAGGCCTCAGAAGCAGGCTTTTCTCTCTCTGACCTTCTTCTGACTTCCCTTCACCTGCCCAAGGCAGGACTCTAATCTTTCCTGGCTTTTCTGATTGATTTCTCATTCCAGAGAGCATCCTGCCCCATACCCTGCATGAAGAAATGCTGCACGGGAAGGCCACGAAGAATCTAGACAGATGGGCCTTACTAGGTTTCCTGACTCAGTCTGTTAGTATTAGATCATACCCTTTTTTAGCTAATCATATTTCTACCTGG